GGGGGGGTTACTTCTTAAAAAGGAAGTTTTAGGACTTTTCACGACTGTCTTTACAGACGACTTCCGTGCCACTGATCCTCCAGACGTAGCTGTTATATATCAGTAAACAACACAGACCGATGACTATGAATTCAACATCAGTCCAGAAGATTGAGGTGATGTCACTGCACAGTGTCCAGCAGGAGCGGCCCTGATTGGCTAGTGACTTTATTACAGCAAGCAGAGTAATGACGACGCATCGTAAATCAGTTAAAAGTCGATTGATTCTTATTTGTTACAATAAAAACTGAATGGTCAGACCATGACACTACATCCTCCAGTCCAGTAGGTGGCAGTGTGCTCCTAAAAACCCACTATCAAACCCAGACAGTTCAGACAGTTCACTGTTTCAAACAAGGAAGTAGAATGTTCAGATGTTATCACCACACGTGGTCATGTGGTCAAGGCTTGATGTCGTTTACTCGTGTCCTATTTACCCCCAACCATTTCCTTTCTGTTGAAAATAAGTCGAGTTAGTCACCCTAACCAACGGCCAATGACGTGGCTCACACTATCAGACCTCTTTTTAATTGGTTTCCTGGACTCCAATCTTTTGAAATTAAACTTCTTAACTCTAATGGTCCAGATGTTCTCAGTGGCCTGACGCCCCGTTTAATGCCTAACAGATTTGTACAGTCTGCTCTAATGAGGTCATTCACCAGTGAACTGTGAGGGTCAGGACACGTGATTGGTCGTGGCCAGGAACTTTGGTTTGGGTTTGTAAAAATGTACGTCAACGTAACCACTGAGGGTTGAACATGGAGAAGAGTCTTTGAGTCGTTGAGTCTTTGAGTGGTTGAGTCTTTGAGTCTTTGAGTGGTTGAGTCGTTTGGCGTAACCACTGAGGGTTGAACATGGAGAAGAGTCTTTGAGTCGTTGAGTCTTTAAGTCGTTGAGTCTTTGAGTCGTTGAGTCTTTGAGTGGTTGAGTCTTTGAGTCTTTGAGTGGTTGAGTGGTTGAGTCTTTGAGTCGTTGAGTCTTTGAGTGGTTGAGTCTTTGAGTCTTTGAGTGGTTGCTGTGGTTGTCCATAAGGGGCCTCTTCACAGCATTTACTTCTATGGTTGTGTTATTGTAGCGATCAGATCTTCCTCCTCTCACCCCGCTCTCCCCCT